CGAAGGGCAGCGAGGGGGCCACGAAGGACGACAGCGGGGCTACGAAGGCCATGCGTATGGGGCCACGACGGGCAACTGCCAGCGGGGGTCACGAAGGGCATATTTTGCGGGGCCACAGTGGGCAGCGACGGGGCCACTAAGGGCAGCAACGGGGCCACGAAGGGCAGCGAGCGAAGGCGACCGCGGAACCAGCACGGGCAGCGAGGGGCATCGAAGGCGGGCGAAGGGCAGCGAGCGGCGACTGCAGTCCCTAACGGGCTGGTCGGGCGGGCAGGCGCAGACGGGCGGGTCGAGCGGGCGGGTCGTTGAAGCGTAAATTCTGCTTGAACCGCCAGGCAATATGTAGCGGGAGCGCGATTCCTGAGTGTCGAGGAGCGGCATCTGAATGAATTGTGAGGAACTATCAAGCGGGAACCGCGATTCGGAGGTGACTTGCGAGGAAGTCCAGAGCGAGAGCGCAATTCTTCAATACATTGTGAGGATGTATCTAGCGGGAGCCGCGACCCGGTTGTAAATCGCAAGCGAGAGCGCGATTCTTCAATAACTTGTGAGGAGGTAAGTATCAGGCGGGAGCCGCTGTTTTGTAAACCGGGGGCCAACAACGCAGTTTGACCCTCAAGACTTTACCTGATACAAAAACCGGGTGCGAGCCCCGGGAAGGGCACTTCGATCGAAAAAACAATGTGCACTGGACGTGAGGGATCAACAATAACTCTTCTTCAGAAATTAGAGCTCAACAACAACAGCAACAACAATACTTTTACCCTCGTGCGTGATGTTTCCACACGAAGTATGCGACCACCATGATAACCATCCACGTCATGGGGGACACTTGTTCTATAGCGAAATCCGTTATTCCCATTCCCAGATCTCCCGCCCAATGAGATCTTGCAAACACCTCCTCCGAGGAATTTCAACAGATCCCGCCCTGAAAACACATGCCCGCGCCTTGCTGCGCCCATGCGAGACCGCCAGTGGAACCCCAGCGAAGGGTAAAGCACAAGGCACTATCGAAGGACAGGATTGCCTTGGTGGGGATGGGGGCTGTCGGCGGTGAGGCAAGGACCTGGCCATGAATAGAAAAGGAGGGAGTCTCGAGCAGGGGTCTTGTTGCTGGGAGCGGCGCCGATGCTGAAGAGAGCAGGGAGCTAGTCCAGCGAAACAAAACGAAACCTCGAGCGGGAACGCTGGTTTTGTTGGGACGGCGGTTGTCGGCGGCGAGGAGGAACACCGCCTTGAGTAAGAAAGGAGGACGTATCGAGCGGGAGCCGTGGTTTTGTC